AAAAAAAAAAAACCAAAATTTTATTGCAGATCGAGGTCCTCTCGCCGAGCGCAGAACGACTCCAGTTTCAAAAAAAAAAAAAAAAGAATTATGGGTGTTTTTTTGGCCCGGCCGGTTTATTTATTTATTTGCTGTTCTGTTTTTGTCTGTTCAGGCGTCGTTTCGGACTTGCAGTTTGTCTGAACAGACGTCTGTTCGGACAAAGGCCACGTTTTGGGCCTTGTACGTTCCCAGGCAGGCCCTTTCGGGCCAGGTCCACTTTCGTCCGGTACTGGACGCTCCCTGCTGCATCAGCAGGGAGGGCCTGGACGTCCAGTAAGGACCCAGGCAGGCCGATTTGAGGCCAGGACACACCAGCGAGGCCCAGCGCTACATATAGCTGGGCCAGGCCAGGGCAAACACACAATTCAAGTAGCTCACTTCTTGGGCGACACGCTTCTGGAGCAGTGCGACACGGCGCTGCGCTAGGTAAAGGTAGAGGCGAGATAGGAGTTTGAGAGGAGAGAGAGAGGCGGAGGCCATACCTGCAGTCAATGGGGGACTTACCTGGCTCCCATAGCTGGGTCTTCACGCCAGCGACCTGCACGACAGGGGAGCGCCAACCACTACCGACGGCAGGTGAGATTGGAGGCCGACATTCTTCTTCTTCTTCTTCTTTTTTCAAAGAGAGAGAGAGGTCACATTGCCATTGGACATATCATCCCACAAACGACCGAGAGCGACGACCACCTTGTCTTCATTCGACGGATGCAAGATCTCCTTGTCAAGGCACGTGACCATATGTTGAAGATGCAGCAACGCATGAGCCGTCAGGCCAATCGCCAGTGTCTTCCTTGTCAGTTCCGCGTAGGCAACCTTGTTTGGGTCTCCGCTGTGGAAATCATCCTCGAACAAGATATCTTTCGCAAGCTCCTTCCAAAATGAATGGGGCCTTGGCGCATTGTAGCACCTGCTGGTGACGCACCCGAAGGACCTCCATTTGTCATTCAGGTGCCTGCCCACTTGCCCGTCCACCCGGTCTTTCATTGTCCAAAGTTGGTTTTTTTCGTTTTGGCAGAACACGACGACTTTCCCGTGCGACGATCGCAAGACCCACCCTCCATGGACGCCATCATTTCACAGCGGTGCTACGGCACCAAGCCGACGGAGTACTTAGTACGATTTTCCTATTGTAGCCATAAGGCTGACCGTTGGTTGACCCGTGCGGAACTTCAGGCTACAGTCCCTGATTTCCTCGCACGTTACGAACGCAAACAACAAGGCAATCCGGCACCTTCGTCTTGACTCCGTACTCACGTCCAGGTTCCACCATCGGATTGTCAGCTTCGCCCTCGACCCGACTTGACTTTATAAGGAGGGGGGGGATGTTACATGCTGAGCCTGCACAAGGGCCCCATTTAGTGGGCCCGGCGGTTGTTGGGGGCACCCAGGGGTGTTACATGCTAAGCCTGCACACGGGCCCCATTATGTGGGCCCAACGGTTGTTGGGGGCACCCAGGCTGCCCGCCCCTTAGACGCACGCCCTGGAGGCATCACGTTCAGCTGCACTCCACAATTCTGAGGGAGGCGTATAGCAGGGAAAGGGAAATTGGTATCTGAAAGTAGGACAAGGTCCGTTCTTGACCACAATCATTTTCCTTCTTTTTATTAGCACAATCTACAATCTAGAGGTTCAATCAGTTTACTAATTTAGTATCCTATGGAATTCATCCTTTGGGACATCCGTTAAAATTGGAATGATATTATGATACAGAGAAGACTAGCATGGTCCCTGCGCAGTGCGCAACGATGCCATGCATGCATAAACCGAGAAATAGTCCAAACTTCAACAAAAAGGACAAAGTGTCCCCTGGGGCCCGGAACTCTTCACTGCTAAGAAATGGTGTGGATTGCATCGAGAATGGACATAGTATATCTTAAGTCAGGATTGCATCAGCCAGACCTCTTTTGGTCTCTCAATTGGTTTCTTTTGAAACCCTATGGGTGGCTTCCCATGCAAATGAATGAGGCCTGTAACTGGCAGAGCAACTTTTGCACACATACCTCCTCAGGCTGATGGACACGACCGTAAGATAACCTTGGAATCAAGAGCCTGAATCCCAATTTGCATGGGCAACACTGGAACATGCACACACATTTGAAAAGATCAGCAATCCTCTTTTGAGCTTCCAGCATGCAGTTGTCTGTGTGCCACTCACATATTCCATGCACGTATCTTAGAAGTTAGAAGTTGGAACTTAGAAGCAATTTGAACTTGCGAGTGAACCCATGCAGAAACTTTCTGGTGAATGCAGCAATAGAAAAGGAATCATTGAAGTGGTGTCTCAATAGCTGTTTCCGTGCATCCTACAAATGCAGGTTGTCAAAAGATGTTGTGACTCTTGTGCGCCTTCTTTTTTCTTGAAAGGGCCGCGGCCTTGGGATATCGTCTTGGAAGTTGATGGAACTGACCGGTCGTAGGTGATTTGGAATTGTAATATAGTTTTCCTCATCTGCTTCCAGTGGAGTTCGAACTCAGCACCTGGGGCTGTATTTCAACAGTTCAGGTCAGGGGGGTTGTACCAACTGAGCTAGGCCAGTTGGTATGTTGTGAGTCTTCTAATGTTTTGGGCAAGCCAGCTTTTTTCTGTTTTCTGCCAAGTGAAGCTGCAACAGGCCGTTTTTGTATAGTCACCTATGGTTCAGTGCGTAGTTCTCTGTGACTATATATAGATGACTTCTCTAGTCCCCTGCTACGGTGCCCTCCCGTCAGGTTGAGCGGCAGTGGTCAGGGGCATAACTAAGCTGCCATGCGGTGCCTCTAGTGCCAGTGGTGTGTCTGGACTCTGGAGTGTATTATCTGCGTGTGGCAGACTTTTTCTTTGTTTCATGGGGTTGTGCTCGCTTATGATGGGGTGTCAGCCTACAGTCTGTAGAATCTTCCGTCCAGCGTGAGTAGGTGATAATCTGCTTTGATTTCTGTCACAACAGGTACCCTTGAGGGCAATGGTTGGTGCCCACGTCAGGAATCAGCTGCGGGGAAGTGGTTGGTGCCCAACCGCAACTGGGGTTAAGATGGACTATCTGTAACAGCCCCCCATTTCTTGTCCCTTTCTACCTTTCCTGCCTATGGTTCACCATGCGGTTCTCTGTCACAACTGACTGCCAAAAGGGAGAAAACTCAGAAAAGCACAAAAAAGCCAGGGGTTATGACAGATCACATGGTGAAAGGAAGGACAGAAGGGAAGAAGAAGGACAAGACACACATGGATGAACTTCATCAAAGTCATCCCAAGAGGTACCCGAGCACGCATGAGCCTTTAACGTTTTAACCTTTAAAGCCTTGCAATTCTCTTCCTATGCGAACAGCTGAACCGGGACTTGCCTGTGATTCCCTTTTTTTTTTGGACCATTTTTTGATTTATGGGTGTCATCCTTTTTTTTTTTTTTTTTTTTTTGAAACAACACCCCTACCAGTGTTATGGGTGTCATCCTTGCGCAGGGGCCATGCTAACCTTCTCTTTATCGTTCCAATTTTAGCGGATGTCCGGAAGGCTTCTGCTGTGACTCCTTTATGGTTGCACGTCTCTCTTCCTATGTTAAAAAGCTTGAAAGGGGTTCAGAAACTTCAGATCCCAAAGTGAAACAAACAAAAAAAAGGAAGAGCAATGACAAGGATTGTAACTAACACCATCATACTTATGGACGACCTGTAGGCTTTGAAGAAGCGGCTCCCAAAAGCATCTCTTTTGCCTGATGTGCAAGAAGTGTCCGCAAAGCCTCATCAATCAAGTCACCAGCTGGATGCAAACACAAATCATGTCGATCGTGAGGGGAGAGATGATGGAAGCCACCATGGACATTGTGACAGGGACACAAATGGAGCGTATAACACGCAAGAGGCAAGCCGATACAGCGCACAATCGAATGAGCACAGTCACACCAATACCGCCACATCATATGACAAGTCAAGGCCTCCGGGAAGTGTGGGGCAAGTTGTGACTCACTTCACAGACGATATGTCCATGAGGGAGGTAAGGGAGCAACGGATTGCAGTCAAGGATGCAAAGACTCCAGGGGTCACAATACAAGGAGAGGGCATTGTTCGCCATGGGGAGGAGAGAAAAGGCACAACAACAGTCAATGCGAACATGGAAATGACAACAACAGCAGGATGCATGTTTCCTGATCAGATGGAGGCACCACAGGCATTGATAGGTCATCGTGGCACGGGTGACGTATGCCAGGTGAGTATGGCAACAAAAAATCACGTTTTCTGCCCATGTGTTAGTGAAAAAAGACCATAATCCTTTTCAACTTGTACCACCGGTCCCACCGTCATTGGGACTTGCAGCCATGGGTCAGTCAGAAAACTGGATGTCGAAGTAGTAGTGGTGCCAATGCCACTCTTGTGGTATCAGTATCTCAAGGTTCCATCCTTCTCCTTTCTAATGCCTGTCAAGCTGCGAGTGATGCTGCCTTACTGATGAAATTTTAAGTGCCAAAGTGCCATGGACATTTCCCTATCGATCAGACTTCTCCACCTCTGCATCTGTTGATGAGAAAAATAGTCTAAAGGAAGATTCAAAGGAAGCCTCGAAAAAAAGGCGAGGGTAGAAGAAAGGAAGGACAGAGGAAAAAGAAAAACATGCAGCATCTGAGTATTCATCTCAGCTCCTGTCCTCAGCGAGTGGGGTAAAACCGTAAAAGGCACCACAATGTGCTGTTTCAGTTTCTGCAAGAAAAAGCATTTCTGTGCAGGTGCTGCAGCATGACCTGGCACAGGACTTGAGCATGCCGTTGCCACTGTGAAAATGATGATGACAACAGCCACAACAACACCCCTTCTCTGCCCGGCTGGACCCGCCCGGGTAGGTACCCGGGCGACCTTCCCCCAGCCGGGCCGCTCAGGGACCAGCACTGTGCTCTCTCTTCGTTTCTCCTTTCTATGTGCTCTCGATAGTGCATGATAGTCCATTTCGTGGGTACAGCATAAAGAGAATTTTTGTGCTGTAACCAGTGCTAAGTTACCAACCATCACAGACCATAACAAGAGAAAAGATTGACTCAAAGGGATGTGGAGTATGGGTACACAGGTCGAGGGCTTAAGGTTCAGGGTTTTAGTGACGATTTAAAGAAAGGAGGACAGTTAAAATGGGACAGGAGATATCACGCCTCTCAGACAGGACAGAGGAGTGGGGAGGACGCAGGCCAGCAAGGACAAAAGATGAGCTCTTTCTAGGTGGCATAGTACTATTTGGCAGTTCTGGCATCCAGATCTGAGAGGAAAGAGAGGGACATGGCAAGCTGGCAGTCAATCCTCCACCAAGGTGGAGCAATCAATGCTGTTCAGGGGTCCTTCGGCCAAACGGAAGGAAGCGTGTGTGAGTTTCAATGTAATGTATATTCTGACTTGCCGGTGGAATAGGAACCGGACTGACGCTTCCCAGAATAGAACGGAGCCAGGACCATAAGGCCCTGTTTTATTTATTAAAAAAAAAAAAAAAAAAAAAAAAGTTACCACCCATCACCTGGAGGATCATGCACTATCAAGTAGCATAAAAGTTCTCTTTCTGCCAGTTGGTGACCATTGCTTGATACTGATGGTCGTTCGACATGTGTGTTTTCGTCAATGCATGTACATGACCAAGTGTGTGGGTGTGCCCATCCTTTCCACCCAGGTGAAAGTCATGCCGAGGAGGCCAGATGCTGCTGAAATTAAATGCCAAATGCACCCGAGGTCATGTGCGCAGATGACCATCGAACGAGGGGTGTTGGTGAGTTTGCCACATCACCAAGTTATAGAGCGGATGCAAGCTGCCCAACGAGCCACACTGGCCATGCTTCCAAACTGCAGAAATGGACAGTGTGAGTTGAACTTGATTATCTATCCTCCCCTTTGCATCAGCAGCCTAATCAGTATAATCCGACTCTACGAGAATTTGGTAAGAAAAAAAAAAGAAAAAAAGCTGTGTTGGGGCTGTTCAGGAAGCCGCACCCGCAAGGCACAGTGTCCCTCGGGACAGGGAATACTGCATGCCTTCCCTACCTCTTTTTTCTCTCGTACTTTTCTTGCTCTTTGCTCTTTTCCCTTCTTCTTCTCTCTCTCTTATTTATCAGTATTGGTGCAGGACATCATCCCACATGATGCACTATCATGCATGCCTTCCCTACTGAACAGCTGTCATAAGAAATTGGAGAAAGATTATCCCTTAGACAACCCACAAGTCTGGATATAGGGAGGAAGCACCAAGACAATGGCTGTTCAGAAAACCATAGATCAGAGATGAGAGGAACCATCCGTGATCTCCAACCCATCGGGATCACTGATGACCAACTTGGCTAAATGAAACATAACTGGGACGAGGACGAAACTCGAGATCCGATCAAAGACGATAAGCTGAGAACAGTCCGGGAAGGGGGCCATAACCTAGCAGATAATATCCAGGCACTGGCAGGCTGTCATTATCAGTGTCCCAAAAGAACTACGGAAAGATCTCTTAAACCGCTAGTACACGGCCCCAGCCTTGCATAAAGTTTTTGTCACCACAACCAAAACTCGGAGGTGCTGCACGGCCAGGCCCGCCGTTGAAAAAAGAAAAATCGGCGTCCTCCGAAGTGGTGCGGGTTTCATGCTGACGCCGGCCCGGGGGCCGATATGTGGTGTACTGGTGCTTTAAATCGCCAGGTCACCCAAAGATGAGTAGGGACCTTACTGGTTTACACGGAAAGAGCTTTTCAGTTCGGGCCGGGGCCCGTAGACCCATCGAGATCACTGATTACTAAATTGCCTAAGGAAAAGGGGGTATGGCATATGTATGGCAACTGTATGGCAAATAAAACTTATCTGGGACAAGGAAGGCCAAGATTAGGTCAACGACGGAGAGCTGAGAAAGGTCCAGAAAGGGTGGCCTAACCTAGCACATACTCTTTGCGCAGTCATTAAAGAGTGTCCCAAAACTAAGAAAAGATCTCTTAAGGCCCCAGTTCACCAGAAGCAGATTAGGGCTCTCACCGGTTTACGCGGTAAGACGTTTTCAATTCGAGCCTGGGCCGGTAGCGAACCTGGCAGGCCATTTTTGAAACGGCGCCACTGCAGGCTCGCGAGCGTTGGAAGGTAGCTTTGTCAACCTACCTTCTTCCCCCGAATAGAACGTACGGTCATTATAGCTGTATTTTAGGCATCTTTAAGTCTAGATATAGCTATAATGACCGTACGTTGTATTCGGGGGAAGAAGGGAGGCTCGTGTGAACTGGCTGTTTAAAGGAGACTTTGTGTGGAAAGCAGGGGAATGAAGGGTCATGATTCAGGGCCCTATAGCTGTATTTTAGGCATCTTTAAGTCTAGGTACAGCTATAATGACCGTACGTTGTATTCGGGGGAAGAAGGGAGGCTCGTGTGAAGGTACAGCTATAATGACCGTACGTTGTATTCGGGGGAAGAAGGGAGGCTCGTGTGAACTGGCTGTTTAAAGGAGACTAGTGTGGAAAGCAGGGGGATGAAGGGTCATGATTCAGGGCCCTATGCCACGGACAACGTATAGATTCTCTCACAGACGGGGTGTAACAGGTCATATGGCTGTACTCACTTCCTTCCCTCTTTGATACAGCCAAAATGACTCACTAAAGGTACATAACATTCATGCGTAAGAGGTGAGACTAAACACATTCTTCTTACGTAAAGTGTGAGCCTTGGGCTGAATACCGCCAAGGATATCCAACCTTTCACTGCTAGAGACGACCTTCAACCCAACCCAGGTGAATGGGAATATGGGAAACAATCCAGAGGGACAGCACAGCAGGGTCTGGGTCTCTCTATCATAAAGGGGAGAAGCGTTGGCGTGTGTCCATGATGTAATTTTGACTTGCAGTGAAAAAGGGACCGCGAGGAGACCTCACCCTTAGCCCACAGGGACTGACTAGGAGGGGTTTAGGGTTTAGGCCCTTAGGGTGGTAGAACTTGGGCTTAGTTACAGGAAACCTAGGGATTAGGGTTTACGAAAAGTGAGGCAGTTTATGGGTTGTTTAGCATCTTCCCCGCATGTCTTAGTAGAGTATTCCTGCCCTACCGTGTGCTTTTTGTAGATTTCTTTGTCCAGTTTTGTATTTTGTGCTGGAATAGCATAAGGTGGCTGAAGTAGGGGACACTGGGCCCGTTTTCCAGTATGAGCCTAAGCTGGGAATCGGCCCCAGTATTCCGGGTTGAGGTGTGGTGGGATTCCCAGCCTCCTTTTGCTCATATCGCTAAAAAAAAAAAAAAAAAAAGGGGACCGGACTGACGCTCCCCAGAATGAATAAGGAGCCAGGGCCAGAACGTCCTGTTTGTTGACAAAAAAAAAAAAAAAAAAAAAAGTTCCCAGTCTGGCACCCCATTAACTGAGCACTCTGTCAAATTTGGGTGAGTACACCACAGCAAAAATCCAGAAAAAGATGGAATAGGAAACTAGGGACCCGGGTAACTGAGTTCTCTGTCAAATCGGGTGATTATTCTATACTCTATCTATAGCCACGTGGAGTCGTCATGCTGGATCATCCAATGGGGAAATCAGCAATACATTAGTAGCTCGAACGTAAATGGGATGATCACTTCGAGGGGAAGATCGCAGAAAAAGCCCAAACGTAAGTACGATGCATAAGTGCTTGGCTGAAATCCAGCGGTGCAAAGCTACCGTGCGTGCGTGGGATTATGACTGAACGCTTGTAAGTCAATAAGGAACCTTGTAGTTGTGCAGCCAATCCAGGAGAAAAAACTCTATCGTATACGTATAATGTCATGACTCGTGTTTTCTTGCACATCCATATGTCCCAGATCCTTCTGAAGAGATGCGGGCGCAAGTCGAAAATCTGCAGATCCAATGTAAAGCCTATGATCACAAGGTCAAGTCACTGGAAGAAAAGTAAGTTTCTGTCTACCTCCTCTTTCATATTCATGTGATGTTGTTTATTGAACTTTATTCCTCCCATACCCATGTGTGGTGGTGACCTTTCCCATTTGCATGGAATTACTCAACTCAACCCTTGGTGTGTGGGCAAGTTGAAAATTTGCAAATCCAATATCTTATAAAGCCTATGATCAGAAGGTCAAGTCACTGTACCCGAAAAGTAAGTTCATTTCTACCTCTGCTCTCTGGTTTCCATGTGATGCCTTTATATTCCTCCCATACCCATGTGCGCAGTGACCTTTCCCATTTCCATGGAATTACTCAACCCTTGGTGTGTGTGGATTTGAAGGATTTCCTCCCACATGCACGTGTGTGGTGATCCCCCCGCCTTCGGTGTCGTGCAGACAATCAATCAATCATCGCCGATGATGTTGCAATCAATTTAACAGCAGTGTGTTTGTGGGTGACAAAAAAATATCAGCAATGAACTCTGGCTGTATATGGTTTCCTGGATGGTCCTTGGACTGAAACACTGAGAAAGAACAAGCAATCTCAGCTAATTGCACTGGGGACATCAGGCGATTGAGCATTGGACCTGACATTCAGAGCGCCACTACGCCCTGCCCACATGCCTCAGTTCTCGTCCACAGGGCCCGAGCTACTCAAACACAAATATTGATAAACAGATCATGAGCTCAACTCGTCTTGGCTGTTTGACGCCCGCGTTCATTCTACTCACACACACACACACACACACACACACACACACACACACACACACACACACACACACACACACACACACACACA